CAACAACAACGAGACCCGGGGCCGTCCTCCCAGCCACATGCCCGTGGTGCCGCTGACCCTGCACAGGCCACCCCCGAGGGGCCCAGGGGCCCAGGGGCTGAGGGCTCACAGCCACTCGAGCTCAGGCCCCTGCCAAGGCCGAGATGGCAAATCTGGCTGGCTGGGACCCCCGGCAGCTGCTGGCCAAAGGCAGAGGGGCCACAGCTGCCCCGCTCTGAGCAGCAGCCTGGGCAGGAGAGCAGCAGGTGCCCAGGCAGAGTCCTCCACTCACAGCCTCAGGTGACGGGTTCAAGGACAGAAGCCGAGAGGGGCCAGGGCAGCATGGGAAAGGGAGGCAGCGGGGTGGCGGGAGCTGCAGACGTGGGCAGGAGAGCAGGGCCCAGCTTCAGGGCGCCCTGTCCTGTGACGACTTGGGCACATCTGTCCTGGGGAGGGCCCGCCAGGCCCCCTGCTCATCACCTCCCCCCCCGAGCCCTGAACAGGCGCCGAACCGCCCGTGAGAAGAGGGCCGCGGGGCCTCACCTGCATCTTCACGGCGATCACCACCGAGACGAGCCCCTTCTCCAGCTCCTGGAGCACCACCAGCTTCTTCAGAGTCAGGCCACACAGCCTGCAAGGCACAGGGCACTCAGCCAGACGCTCGGCCCAGCCCGGGGGACGCCCGGCCCCCCACTCTCAGCCCAGGACGCTCGGCCCTAGGACGCCCAGCCCGGGGGACGCGCAGCCCCGGCCCTGCTGAGAGTGCCCTTGTGCTATGGCTGCACTCGGAGACGCTCCCTGGGCCGATCGGTGTGGAAGGCCCCTGTGCAGCGTACGGATAGGCAGGAGGCGGTGCATACCAGCCAGGAAGCCTGAGAGCTTTGAGTCTGGGGCCCCAGGATAGGGGGGCGCGCAGCCCAGTCACAGCCCCGAGAGCGCAGGGCTCCCATGAACTCCCCGCGGCTGGTCTGCCCGGCATGCTCTGAGGACCACCTGGAGGACACGCCCGGCACCCAGCCATCAGTCCTGGGGCCTCCTGCACACTGGCCGCCCGTCTGTGGGTGCAGACTGGCATGTGTGACGCAGTGTCATGGAGATGCGCACGCCTTCCAGGGTGCCTGCCGCACATAGGTGGCCCACTCCCTAAGTGTGTGGAGCGCAGCCCCAGGCCAACACAATTTCCAGAACCTTCCCCACAGCTCCCTGAAGCCTGCCTCCCTTTTCTACTTCGGTGCAGCGCGAGACTTTCTCAGGACAGCAGCAGGCGGCCACAGGCTCTCCGCCCCCAGGCGTCCCACCTGCCCTGCTGCCCCAGGCCAGACAGGTCCCCTCAGGCGCCC